GGCCTGTTCTCCTGCCTAGTCTGTCTGGATCTGGGAGCTCCACTAAAACCTGTCCTCCGTGGGTGACCTGTAGGACGGGCTATTCCTTGGAAAAGGACATCATGCTTGGAAAGGTGAGGGGACAGTGGAGGAGATGAAGAGTCTCAAGCAGAAGGACTCTAACACAGTGAGTCCAACAGTGGGCTCGAGTGTGTCAAGAGATTGTGGGGACGGCACAGGACAGGACCAGGTTCAGACCTGTTGTTCACAGGGTTGCTATGAGTCAAACTCGACTGCACGGCATCTAACAACAACAACAAATACTATCTACACTTACTCAAAAGCATCGGTAATACAATAAATGAGTTCACTGTTGTTGTTACGTTCCATCAGGTCAGAATCTGACTCCCAGATGATCCTCCACTGGTTTTTCACAGACTGCCCTTTCTTCTCCCGACAGAGCCGCTGGTGGATTCGAACCATGTGCCTTTGGGTTGGCAGCATCACTACTTATAGACCATTAGAGCTCCCTAAAATTGAGTTGTACAGCTACTCTAAATTGTAATTGCCATAACAACTGTAAGCCACCCAGAATGTTCTACATAAGAACAGATCTCCTCAGCTGTCAAGTTAAAAATCCACAGAGATGTTTTTAGTTTTCTCTTCTGTAGTTTATTCATCCCCTCAATAATTGTGTCAGTGGGAGCTCTGGTGGCCTAGTGGCAAGAAGCTGCACTGCAATCCCGTAAGTGTGTGGTTTGAATCCACCAGATGCTCTGCTGGAGGAGGTGCAATCTCCTCCTGTGCCAGCTGGATTTTATTTGAGGGACACACAACAAGTACAAACAAACAACAATCCTGCCAGTGCCTATGAGATACATATCAAATAGCCACACTTCACTACAATCTCTGAAAAAGCATCAGGAAATAAAAGCCTAGAGAAGCCTGGATAACTTCTAACAGCAAAAGCTGACCTAGGGAGGAAAGGCAAGATAAGGAATTTGAGGTCTGCAACACACATGAGTAAGCAGGGCAAAATACTTCAGTCACTGTGAAGAGCACGTGCAAAGGCCCTGAGGTGGACAGGAACCACACATCAAAGACCAAAGGATGCCTCAGAAGAAGGGGCTAGTGCTCTTCTTCCAAAAGGCCACAGACCATACACCAATGTACACTGCACCATAATTCAACACCATAAGAACGAAAACGGAAACAGACCAAATGTCCAACCAAAATCGGATGGATTGAGAAATCACAGTACCTTTAAACACTGGAACATTATGCAGCACTCAGGAGCAACGATTTTAAAAAATCACAGCCTAACTTGGGAGGGACTGGAAAGCATTATGTTGAGTGAGCTATCTCGTTCCCCGAAGGACAAATACTGCATAGAACTACTGAAGAAATAGAAAGATAACTAGTAAAACATGTATGAGGATCCAAGGAGGAGAGGGTGGGAGCAGAGGGCTGAGTATGGTCAGGGGGACAATCATTGAGTCAAACAATTTGATGGCAATGAGGAGGGTAAAGGAAACGGGGAAGATCAGTGGGGATCTGGAAAGACAAGGTAAAGGTAGGCATAATTCAATGGTAATTAATTGCATAAAACATGAATAGGAATGATTGAATGAAACAATGTATATGAATTTAGTAAGCAAACCATAAAAAATTTTAAAAGGAGTAATTTTTTTTATATACTGGTTGACTTAAAAAGTTAATACGCACTGTTTTTCACACTGGATCTTTCCCATTTCCTATACCCACCCCTCCCTCCCCCCATCAAATTGTACAACCATGTGATTAAAATAATTTTTTTTTTAAAAAGTCACACACTTGCAAACCTCTGGAGCTGAGGTCCATTCCTTATGTCAAATCTACTCCCCGGTGACTGGTTAGGTTCAACTGGGACACACTGAGTCAGATGGACATTTTTCAGGATCCCTCTGTCTGTGTCAGGCAACCTTTGCCAGGACCACGTTTCAAAGAACTCTCCCTTGAATCCTGCAAAACGAGTTTGTTTCTCTTTTTCTCCTAGCTCAAGGTATGGCCTCCACCCAGGCTGTTCACACCTTCTCAGGGTTGCCCTCTTGAAGTTTAAAGGTCAGCACCTCTCCTCAACCTTGCGGTGCTCTGTTTGGGTTTTTTTTAAAGCCCCCAATAAAGGGCTTCCTTCCAAATTCCTCCCGGAAGAACCCCTCTGGTGTCTCCAACTAGCTGAAGGGGCAGGTGACAAAAGTCAGGGCAATCTGTTCAGGGCTTTATTTGTATAAAAGTCCAGGAGGCAAACAGAAAGAATCCTAGATTAGACCGCACACTCAAACGGGCCCAGCTAAAATTTTAAAAATAAAGAAGTCAGCTAATGTCCCTCTCCAGGTTGATGCTGCAGGCCCCGTGGCCACGCCCCAGCCTCATCACCTGGCCAATGGGGGCCTGGCTGGGCTGGCCCTGCTCCAGGATCAGGCCTGCTTTCAGTTTCTTCTTTACAAGCAGTTTCACCCCCACCTTCTAGCACTGCGAGTCCTCACAGCACCCAGGGACACTTCCTCCAGGAAGCCATCCCCACCCTGTGCCTGCTCTACGGACAGGCCCAACTCTGAGCTCCCACTCGGCTCAAAGAAGGTGGCTTTTCTGATCTTTACTGGAGCTGATTCAACCCCCCTTCTCAGGCCCTGAACTGCATCCATGCACCCCTCTTTGTGGTCCAGAAGCTTCAGAGTGGACTCGGAGCAGCCCAGCCCCCAGCACAGTCCTGCCATCGAGCTAGAACCCTTCCATAGTCTGGTGGTTAAGTGCATTATTATGTGCTGCATTGCTAGTGGAAAGTTTGGTGGTTTGAACCCAGCAGCTGGTCTGGGAAAGAGAGGTGGGCATTCTTCTCTGAAACCTGATAGAGGGATATCCTGAGACAGAATGGAGTCGCTGCCAACTGGTTTTATGTATTTATTGGATGAATGAGTAAAAAGTGGATGCCTGGAAAGTGTCCCAAGAACAGGAAGCTTGATCTTTAATTCAAAAATTCCAACTCACTGCCACGGGAGTCAGATCTCCCTGCACTGGGTTTCGGGAGCTGTAAATCAGAGAGAAGACTGCCTATCTCGCTCCTCTGAGTTGATGGTAGATTTGAACCTCTAAAGAGTGTGGTCTTTGGGTTAGCAGCACCATTGCCTAAGGACTAGGCCACCAGAACTCCCTGTGAGTCATGGCCAGAGAGGAAAGGTTTGGGAGAAAATGGGAGGGTAGCACAGTCACAGACTTTCCAATTAGGGGCTTCATCTCACTCCTGGAAATGTGAACTCGGGGCACACAAAGGCAAAACTTTAGGAACTTTAGGAAGCTGTCAGAGGCCATGTTACCAAGAGAAAAGGTGTCAGAGGCCATGTTACCAAGAGAAAAGGTGACCGAGATGGGAGCCCAATGAAAGGGGACAGAAACATCAAGCTGAAAGACCCTGCAGGAGCCTGTCCGGGCTGCAAAACACCAAACTCAAGGAACAACACAACTTGTTCTGGATTCTGTGCACGGTTGTGTGGGGCCATTGCTGCTGCCCCGGGTCCTGCTCGCCTCCCAGGCCATGCTCTCCTCGTCCTGTTTGACTCCTCGGAACCAACCCCGGGGCCTGCACCCTGCTTTCCCGACACTTTCTGACCCTCCTTCAGCTGTAGCTGCATTAGCCACTGTTTATACGAACCTACAGCTCTCGGGTTCTCAGCTGAAACCAAAAGGGGCAACATTATCCAGGTCCAAACTAAGATCCTGCTACTTATGCGTGAGATCCGCAAACCGATTATAAAAGACTCACAGGATCCTAAACTCTCTCTCAGGTTTTAGCATCAGCATGTTCAGAAGCCTCAACTGGTTATAACCACGCACATTAAAGTTTGGGAGACACTCCCCAGATCCTCCATTCACGCTACAAAACACTTCTCGAACCAGGCTACACAGAAGCTGTTCAACATCGATCCCAGACGGGCGTTAAAAAGGCTGAGAAAGAGCACGCAGGAACATTTCATCCTAAATACAAACAAACTCCTGTGGAAATGAAAAGCAGCATCTCTGGGAGAGTCAAGCGTGCGGACAGGAGTCTCTTCACACCAAAATTCAGCCCGTGGCCACCGCGGAGCGGCGATGGGGATCTGGGAACCTGACCCCATTTGCAGCAGGAGGTGGGGAGAGTGTGTGCGTCTCCTCGCCTCTGCTACAGGCCGCACGGCTGGCCAGGCCAAGTCCCCGCCCTCCTCAGCTGTCACCCTGTCAAAACAAAGCCGCTGCTGACAGCGCAGGGCAGGCCCGGTCCCGGGCGGCCCTCCCTCCCCAGGAGTGCGGCCCCTGTAATCTAGGTCTACCGCGGGGGTGGCGGGCCACGGGGCGCGCGGACGCAAGCCGGGAGGGCGAGAAATGGGCGTCCTCCAGCTCGGCAACAGCACCCGCCGCGCCGGGCTGTCAGCTCGCCAAAGCCTGTTTACACCCCAGCAGCTGGGACGGCGTTTTCACTAAACAAGTAATAATACAATAATGACGGGGCTGTCACCTCCCGCCTCCGCCCCCAGGCGCTCCAGGACCCTCTCCAAACCCTGCGCCCACCTTCCCAGCCCGCGCGCTGCGCGCCTTCGCTCTCCCCAGAAGCCAAAAGTCGGAGAACCTTTCCCACCCCAGCCCTGGCACGCAGCCCCTCCGAAAAGGCGCAGGCACGGGACGCTGGGATCCCCGGGATGTTTCCTCGACCCCCAAGTCAGTGCGCCAACCCGGAGGGTCAGCGTGCTCTCCGGAAGGCGTCTCTGGCGAGCTCCTACACGGCAACAAAGCCCCAGGGCACCCCGGGAGCTCCAAAGTCAAGGCCACTTCAGCCGGGGGAGGAACGGGGGCTTTCCGGGAGGTGATCCCCCAGGTCCCAGCCCCACCGGATCCAGGTCTGAGGGGGCGAGAGCGCACGGGCGGCCAGCACTTCCGCGGTGCTGCGCGGGGGGTCCCGGGCGCGGGAATCCCCAAGCGCGGGGGCCCCAGGGGGTCCCAGGGCGCAGTACCTTGCACGCCGAGTACACTCCGAGTTTCTCCAGTTTCTTGGCCCGCGGAGCGGAGCGCAGCTGCGCCTTCTTCACGGCGATCCGGGCCGAGCCGCCCCCGCCCGGGCCCTCGGCCGTG